TTAATCTGAGTTTGCCGATGACATGGAAGTTTAGAAGCGGTTGGAAATAAAATATTTTTTAGTCAAAATAAATACAAAACCTATAAATTGTGAATATAATTTTGATATCGATCGCTTTTTCTTTTTGACTGTCACATTCATTATTGAAAAACAATTTTACAATTATTGTAAAATTGTAAATACAATTGTAAATACAAGTTTACAATTATTGTAGAATTGTAAATAAAATTTTACAACGAATTGTATTTACAATTACAATTACAATTTACAAAAATTGTAACAGTACTGTGCAACAGGCCCCAGAACTTCGAAATACGAATTTTCCCGGATATGTGGCATAAGCCATTTTGTTGGTATGGTAGCCGGCTACAAACGCTCAGTTTTTGGTAAAACATTGTCGGGCTGATTTTTGAGAAATCGCCTTTGGCGTGAAATTTGAGGGGGTCGATTTTTCATAAAAATCGAGTTTTTTCTTTTATATGACATAAACATTGGCATGTGTGTATGGAATTTTTTGAAGGTCTTCTCAAATGATACCGAGCTGAGTTTGCCCGATGAGTGTCTGAGTTGATCTAGTGTGCGAAATAAATACTTGAAAAAATCGTATACATGCAGGCTAGTGAAGCCATAGCCAGCTCTCCTGTAATGCAAATGTCAATCTGAGGACGGGTTTCGATGTGGCCCGACACCAGCTACAACTAAGGCATATGCGCATCGGAAACCGAAGAAGGTGCGGACAAACGGACGGACGCACGCACAAATCAATACTTTCATAAAAAACCATGGTCAAACTGCCAATGCCCATAACTTTTTCGTTTTTGGACTAATCGGGGCACTTAGAAAGGCGTTTGAAAAGTGGCGGAGGAGGAGCTTCTCTTGAACACCTTAGACCACCCCCTGGGTACCCCCTTTGTAAGATATGGGTATAGATTTGAAAATTTATCGAAATTTTCCAACCGCTATATTTTTGCCTAGACCACACTTTAGGCATGGGGGATATGGTGTTTCCGACTATTTGGGCCAAGACCTTTCGAACGGTACCTAACATGCCGGGGCCCAAATAGTGTCCTGAGAAAATAGCATATTTACTGTATTCGTGACGCAAAAACTGGCATTTTTGATATTTGGCTTGAAATGCACAGTCTATGGTGCGTCACTTGTCGGACTATCGTCCTCCGCGATAAATCTATATGGATATCTAAAAATGTGAGCATTTACTAAAGAGAAAAAAAACGAAAATCTTCTCATTTTCGTGAATTTAAGTGCCTTGTAATATATTTCTACAGAAAAAAGTGAGCCAAAGTGCGTAATGATGTTTGATAAAATAGGCATAGCTCATTCGTTTTAATAAATTTCATATTGGATTTCTTCAAAGTAGGACGCAACTCGTCACTGTAAGTTGTACATTCTACGTATTAAAATCGTACCGTCAGTGGACTCAGTTTCCTAGTTCTTTAGTTATCTTTCATTTGACATTTGTAACCATCCGAAAAATCAATATTATGGGCCATATAATTTATGGCTGTGTGCTTCGCAAAACAGCAAAAAGAGAATAGGCCATTTTCACAATCTGAAAATTAAAAGAAATATATCGACCCAATGTTTTAAAAAATTATTTTTTCTCCCAAATTGTGTGTACCTTTATGAAGGTGGTAATGTTCATTTGGTAAAATTTCCCAGCACGTATGGCAAATGGCCTTAACGATCGTGTGATGAACATCAATAGACTTTTCTTTTCACTATTTCCAAGCTCATACCATTCCGAAGAAAAAGCGACAACTGGTAACAAGTCAGACTTGTCTAAAACATTTGTACTAGCATAACTTGGAGTGAAGATTTGTAAAAGAACTCCACCAGTATAGCTGGCAAGGAATACCAATTGCGTGGTGGTAAAGGATTGAGCCTGTTATATAGTGTCCATTTCATTGGAATCATCGACATGAAAATTAATCACTATTTCTCTTTTATCGAATTATTAAAAAACATTACCTGGGAAAATTGATAGGCACAAGTGCATATGGCGGGTGCACTGATGCTAACTTGGATGAAGAAGATTGCAGAAAAGAGTCTGTTCAATTCGGTTGCACAACTAAAATACACGAGATTATGATTCATCAAAGTGAAATGTTCATTCAGAACACATACTCAGTAAGCAGATTGTAATGATTGAGGTGTTCCAACAGTCGTAACCGATTCGATTCATTCCCCGATCGCCTTTCGAAATTTCCAATTTTTTTCATATGGAACGACAATATTTCGATATGACCACATAATAAACTGATAAGCAAAAAACCAGAAGTGTCAAGTGTCCATGCTATGAAACAATTTAAGCAGTTGCCGATCGATTGAATGAGTAGAACAATGTAATAAACGATTGCTCGTTGAGCGAAATCGTACGGCACTAAAGCTGTTGACTTCCATGTACATTCCGTTCTGTCTAGAAAAACAAGTTCAAGAAACAATGGCGGGAGCGACCCAATATAACAACACACAAAAAATATGGTGGTTTGACGGCAATACGCGTAAACATTCTTCATTGCGTTGATATCTTCATGATTTTCAATTCGCTTATCTGCTGTCTTTATGATATCCAAAATATTGAATAAGTTTTGACGATGAGAATTAAATAAGACGATTTTTATTGCAATGTTTGTCGTCGTACAAAACAGCAGCAACTCTTTAACTAGGTCGTTTGTGGAATGTACATATAAAATCGAAACGGCCTGGCAGGTGATAAGGCCAATACCAGCTAAAAAGAACGATAATAAACTCCACAGATTGTACAAATAATTTGAATCCTTTGCAGGTAACATTCCAAGTAGTCGAAATGCCCGCAATTGAAGGCTTATCACCAAAGTCGAATCCATCTGGAATAAAAATGATTTTTGTTTTTACTTTTGAAATTACAACGTTGTTAATGATTCGCCATCATTCCAATCTATGACACAACACACCACACCACTTCTCTCCAATGAACATTAAACGTACGTAACTTAAGCAAGGAAAGTTTTCTACTCCATTAAAATTAATTCAAATGACAGAAATTTGCTTCTCACTTCAATTTCAAATAGAAATTTTGACGATTTTCATCAATGGTTTATTGATATCATGAGACTATAGCTTTACCATCGTAAAATATTGATAAAATTATAACCTATCTGAACTCAATTCTTGAAGTACTGAAATTAGTGACTGAACTGACATGCTCTCAGCTTGAATTCAACCTTTTATACGAGATTCAATGCTTCCAAAATGGAAAGTAATTACACTTTCAAAGAAAATATTCGTTTTTCGAGGTTTCATATTGGTCGTAAATTTGTTCATGCATTTTTACCACCTGAATTCGAAACACATTCATTAGAGAATGTATACATTAAAATAACTAAACGACTTTTAATTGGGCAAACATTTGTTTATGTAAATTTATGTGGACACTGTAGTGCAGCAGCTGTCGTATTTTTCGAAAACCTTGACTAAAGAAGAAGAGTAAAAAATTGTCCCACCAAATTGATACGTTCAGCAAAATTGCATTTCGATAATAGGTATCAGCATGAAATGATATATCATGACAAAAAAGGCAAGCTAACCTTTGGTTAGCAATTAGTTCGTTAAATGGACATAAATATGTGCCTCGAATCGTTGCTGTACGTCATTTAATGGGACATTCAAAAATGAAAATTCCAGATAATTCACTTACATCGGGAATATGGTCATCATTAAAAATGTAGAAAATCCATTTTTTTATCAACTCCATATGTATGCATTTCCCTTGACTCATTTCTAATGAATTTCAGTTTCGATTTGCTAGCATCCTCGTCTAATACCATTGATTTTACATGTAACATAACAACAAGAAACGACAAAAGTGACCTCTCGTAGCGGCACAATTGAAACTAACGAAACAAACACAATTGAACATGTCAATTTCATGTTCAGTGTTGGTTCTGTTGTTTGCCGTATAGCCGGAGAGAGATGTCTACAGCTTAGTGGCGTTGAATGACATACAACACCCATGTTTGCTAGCCAACGATATTTCCAAATATACGATGGAACATCAACCGTTGATTCACAATCAATCAATTTTAATTAGAGTTGTTTAAAAATGTTCACTGAAAATTCTAAATTTTCGTATGATGACGAAAATAAGCACTGTATGAAATAATCCAAAAATCGTTAAATCCACCCAGGTTGACCAAAAGAAAATGCAATTAAAACGCAATTATTTAATCGAATCAACTATGTTTTGGTTCTGAAAAAAAGATTTGAAAACCCCTGATTGATTGACATGCTCCAACATTGAGAATTGATATAAGTTGTTTTCGCTAGTTAGCGTCGATTGCATTTGACACCAATAATATTTTGTATTATTGTAATTTATAATTTGTAAACGCTGTGTAAAAATAATTTTTTTTTAAATTTACATATATCACAAGTTTTGTGTCCGCTTTTGGCAAGAGAATCTACTTTGTAATTAAGTTTTTTATTGGATCAAACCAATCATATCCACAATCAATCAATTCATTCACCCGTTCTCACTCACATATACACAAGTAAATAACAGCACACATACAATCTACTTATTCACACATTCATATAATCATTCATATTCGCAATGTATCCGTGAAAACATGATTCAATAAATACGAATATGTGGTGCTACCTGCGGCTTGACGTGGTCGATCCAAATGGCAGCATCGCCAGACGTCAGCATCGCAAGGGGGGGTCCGGTTTTAACCCCCCATCTAGGATTTGAAAATGGAGACCCCCTTCGATTTTCAAAAGTGAGGACCTTTTTTTTAGGTCTTCACTTTTTTTTCGACACCCATTGACACAACATTTTTAGACCCCCATCTAGGATTTTTGACCTTGCACACGTCTGAGCATCGCGAACAAAGTTTGAAAAATGTCAGCAGGATGCAATGAGTCATCGTTCAAGTATTGGGTCTGGGAATTAATCGTGTCGATTTTTCAAAAGATGGCGTAACTTTGCATGGTTGTATCGGGCAATACTTTTTTCTTTTTCACATGAGTGGTCTAGTGTCAAACTACAAAAATCATCATCTATCATTTCATCGAAGTTTGGATAAACATTTTTTTTGCGCCTTAAATATGTCAAATTTTGTACCGAAAAAGCAACATTTCCCGCAAGCATTAATTTTTTGCTTTCATTTGAAGAAAACTGCAGCTGAAGCGCATCGAATGTTGGTGGAAGCCTATGGTGAGCATGCTCTATCGGAACGTACATGTGAACGGTGGTTTTCACGGTTCAAAAGTGGTGATTTTAGCACGGAAGACAAGGAACGTCCCGGCCAGCCAAAAAAGTTTGAAGATGCGGAATTGGAGGCATTGCTCGATGAAGATTCGAGTCAAACTCAAGATGAGCTTGCCAGAGCATTGAATGTTGACCGAAGCACTGTTGGATATCGTTTAAGGGCCCTTGGTTTCATTCGCAAGTTGTCAAATTGGGTACCACATGAATTGACGCCAGCGCAAGCGTACTCTGATAAAAGCCTATATAAACAATGTTATTATATTTGACAATATTTGACTCGATGTCAATGACGATGTGGCAGCGCCACCTATAGAGATTCCTTATTAAAATAAGTGGAACTATTGAGTGCGTGCACCATATCGCACGTGAATTTTCAATATGGCAGCGCCCATAGAATTGAAAAGTTAACCAATTTCGTAACCACAAATTATCGCTGTACGAGCGCAAGCTGAAAGGCGTTTAGTGACTTGCGAAATGCTGCTCGCAAGGCACAAAAAAAGAGGTTTTCTGTATCGAATTGTCACTGGTGACGAAAAATGAATTCATTACGATAACCCCAAGCGCAAAGCATCGTATGTTAAGCCCGGCCAACCAGCAACATCACAGCCAAAACAAGAAATTCACGGCGACAAGGTAATGCTGTCTATTTGGTGGGATGAGGAGGGAGTGGTGTATTATGAGCTGCTGAGAAGTGGTCAAACCATCGATGGGCCTCTCTACCGACAACAATTGATACGTTTGAAACAAGCAATCAAAGAAAAACGCACGAAATGGGAGACCAGAAAAGAGACATTGATTTTCCTACATGACAATGCTCGGCCACACATTGAGAAATCGGTCAAAAACTACTTGGAAAATAGCGGATGGGAAGTTTTGGCTCACGCCCCGTATAGCCCAGACCTGGCTCCTTCCGACTACCATTTGTTTCGATCGATGCAAAACCATATGGACGGAGAGCGGTTCTCTTCAGTTGAAGAAATCCAAAATTGGCTCGATGCATTTATAGCCTCAAAAGATGAGGAATTTTTTAAGGCAGGCATCCGTCAATTGCCCACATTGTGGCAGAAGGTCATCGCTTCCGATGGACAATATTTTGATTGAAATGTAATTTCATTTTGGTATTCAAATAAATGTTTGAAAATTTAAAAAAATCGACAAAACTAATTCCCAGACCCAATAAGTCAAAAAAGCCCCAAAATTGAAAGTAGTAGATTTTGTCCAGAGTTTTCGCTAGACAAAAAATGACTTCAGACATTTTACGAAAAATACATGAAGGCCGATAAGCTCGAAAAAACACAGGCAAAATTGATGAAAGCAAAGGAACAACGCCAGAACATGGAGTTGTTGCAATGGAAAAAGTTGAATGGCGAGACACCTTCAAAGAAAGGCTATAAATAGACCTCCCATTCCCGATTTCTAGGCGGGAATTCCCCGATTTTCATCACGATTCCCGCCTTCCCGATTATTGGGTCAAATTCCCGATTTGGGCCAAAATTCTCCTGATTTAAGTTTTTTTTTCTTAAAATTTCTTCATGGTATACAAATAAATCGTTTTTTCACTTACGAATAATCAATCTCTTTTTTTCATAATTTCTCAGAATTTGAATTACGAAATGAATAGGTGAGATTGAAAACAAGACATATTTCCACAGTATATTTAAATGAAACACCAAACAAAGATTTTTTTAAAGTGTAACATCGGCAGGGAATTTTTCGAAGTGAAACACCGCGTGTTACATTTCAATAAAATTTGTTTTCCATGATTCACTTTGAAAAACGTTTGCGCT